GTTTTGGGGATAAGTCGAGTACGTTGGGCGTATAGGGAGTACGTCGGGCGTACTAGGCTAGGATGATCGCGGATGCTCCATGGAGTACGCTAGTACGCAAGGCGTACTCCAGTCAGGTTCAAACCCTAATTTAGGGTCTTGGACCCTTTTTAAAGGCCTTAACTCATTTTCAAACCCTCTTATCTTCAGCCTCCATCCCATTTAACCCTAAATTCGAAACCCTAGCCTCTCTTGTGTGAATTTCAAGCCTTGGTGTGATATTTGGTGTGCTTTGGAGAAAAAGAGATCTTATAATAAGCATTGATTAGCTTGGAGCTTGTGGATCCAAGCTCTAATCATCTTCATCAACTTCCAGGAGGTATAATACTTCTAATTTGATGATTCGATGTGTTAGATCTAGTCTAGGGCTTGTATTGGGTTTGTTATGGTCCCTAGATTCATTCTTGTAAATATAAGCTACTCCAGGAGCTTTGAATGTTAGATCTTAGCATTTATGAGGTTGTTGGTGCATAAAATGTCATCTTGATGGGTTTTGATGAATCATGCTAGAGTTGGTGCTCTTATTATGGGTTTAGATGGATAAAAATGGGTTTTGGGTCCCATTAAGACATCCAAAGGAGTAAAGTTGCCAACTTTATGGATTAAGACCTTATTTAGAGGTTACATTTGAGTTTGGACGTTTTGATCTTAAGCACTAAGTGCTTAACGTGAGTTCTGGCTATCTGGTGAATACGTTGGGCGTATGTATGCGTACACTCATCATAATGCATGGATTCCCGTTTTCAAGCTAAGGCGAGTTATACATTGTGCTTCATCTGGCAGTACACGGGACGTACTCGCGAGGTCCTCTTTTTCGGCCTTTTAGGGGTTGGGCCATGAGTTGTTAGGTCAGATATGGGAAGGGTAAAATGGTATTTTACCCATTGGAAGGATAGAACATGGTTTGGACTTTGTATTTTTGGGAAATTGCCTTAATTACTAATTAGGGGTATTTTGGTTGTGTTCAGTGTAAGGATCCCGGCAGCAGTAACACGTGTGTTTCGGTTATCTTGGATTGAGGCGAGTCTCCTCCCAGTGTTTGGCGGGTCGAAGGCACAAATGTCGGCCCATGGATTATTGTTATTTGTATGTTAGCTGTCCGTGTGACTCTTGCGTGTGTTGTATGTGTTTGTATGTATACCGGGCGGGACCCAATGCCAAGCGGGGCCTGGTGAGTGTGTTGGGCGGTGCCCATCACATGTTACTGATAGATCTGTTCGGGGTGGGTGGGGGGTGTCAGACAGGACCCATTATATGTATGGTATGTGGTATTTTGGGGAACTCACTAAGTTTTGTGCTTACGGTTTTATGGTTATGGTTTCAGGTACTTCCGGTTTGAATAGGAAGGCCCCAGATTAATCGTAACACATCCACCCATGTTTCTGCAACTATATGATTTTGGGATTGTACTCTGATAACTGTTTTTACTCTGGCATACTTATGAATGATTGAAAAGGATAACTGGTGTTTATGTTTGAATAAAAAAATAAAATGTTTACCTTATAATTTTTGGGATGTTACAAGTTGGTATCAGAGCATTGGTTTGAGGAATTCGGGCACACTCTCGAGTGTGACTGAACTCAAATGAGGAGTTGGTAATCTTTTAAAAGAAAACGATTTTCTAAAAAGACTTTTGTAAGAAAAAAGGGGTGTGATGTGTGCAATCGGCCGAGTTCAAGTAAGTGATTCCCAAAATACCCATACATGTTGGTATGTTATATGATATGAATGTTTGCATGCAAGGATAAGGCTAAAGATACTTTCAGGAATTGCATGATAGATTGGCCTGATATGTGATGCCTTGTAGCCTAGGAAGCATTGGATGTTATGCTAGATTGGGAATATGTATTGGTAACAGTAAATTCTAAGTGTATGCTTTAAAAATTATATATGATTAGGATCATATAGCCCCATAATGACTGATTTAGCATTATTTCCTGTTCCTTGTCTAGTTGTGGTCCTAGGGTATAGTCTTTTATTTGACAGTCTATTTGATCATGTATTGTGTATAAATTGCATGCATAAGGCAACCAGAAGTGAGAGAGGGAGTTCCTAGCATGGGTTGTAGTAAGTGAGCTTGGGATGTCCTCTGTTTGTTCTGTGGCTTGGAGTGTTACTGCATGAATGTTGCTTGCTTTGTGCTTTGTGGAATCCTTAGTGATGTGAGTTAACTACTAAGTGAATACACTAAGTCATATGATGCAAAGGTTAAATAATCTCAGAGTGATTGATTTGACCCTACTGTGCAACTCTCGTCTAAGTCTAATTGTTATAGGGATGAGTCTTTTAGTCAAAGGATTATCTAAGCTTTGTGTCATGTGATTATGTTCATAAAGTAGTTAGCTGACATTATTGGGAGTTCTTCAGCGGCTGATGACAGGGTGTGGTTGGAACCTAGGAGAGCCTAGGAAGTGTTTTAGTGGGTTTAGTTGCGTTGTTTAGCAGGTACTTAGAGTACCTATTTGAGAAGGTGACATGGAGGATTTGGGATAACTCTTATGGAAAGTATGGATAAGTGTGGAAGATAGTATTGGGCCCGTACTACTGAAAGCATAGGTCCATACTCGAATCGAGTGGAGTCACAGAGAATTTAGGAAGCCTGTGGGATGAGGGTTTTTGAGTATGTTCTGATTATTGTATGGTTGCTTTTTCAATATGGTGATGAGCACTCGTGGCGGAGGATCTGGTTCAGGCTCAGGTGCTGGCATTGAGCCGATTGATGAGCGGATGCATGAGTTCATCTGTCGGAGATCGCCCACGATATTTTGGAGCAGACTCCTGTGATCTTTGGTTTGGTCAAAGAGGGGATCATGGAGATTTTGGATGAGCGTCTGGGCACGTTCCGTACTGATATTATGGTTATTTTAGGAGCTCGCACCCTTTCCTTCCGAGCGTTACGTGCTTGTGGATCTCCCGAGTTCTTTGGGGAGAAGGACCTCATTGCTAGTAGGAGGTGGTTAGCGGATATGGTGAACACTTTCCGGACAAGTTTCTACCTCACAGACAAAAAGTCAATGGTCAAAAACCCTTAAGTTTGACCTCAAGTCAAACTTAGTAAACAAATCAATGGTCAAAACCAGCAGTCAAGTCACCACGTCGTGGCAAACACCATGGCCACGTCGTGGTGACTATACACCAAAACAGTCATGAAACCCTCACTGTCGTGTCGTGACAGCAACCTTGCCACGTCGTGGTTATGCGGTGTTGAGCAATATAATTGATTTTTAGTGTAAAAATATAATTTTAGAGTAAGGTTGGAGATACCGTAATAATAATTTTTTAAATATAATATTTTAATAAAAAATAATTGGAAAGTATAATGAAAAAGTACTATATATAATAAAATAGCAATTTAAAACTTATTGTTGCATTTTCCTCCCGATGCATAATAAAAGAAGAATTAATTGCAAACTATATTGTGGCATTTTGCCCCATTTTTAATCATATGTAAGCAAATACCAAAAATATTTTTCTTCAAATGACACAAAGGTATCAAAACCTGACTACATCGAATCGGAACTAAAATGTACAACATAAATTACATAATAATAGAACACAAATCGAGTCGATCTAAATTGATTCACTACCTACCAAAAAAGGTTTCTATTTCTAAAAAAATAAAATTGTATTCTAAATATACCTTTTTTCCTTGTCATGTCTCCATTTTTCATATTCCAACGGCTACATGATTTATTTCTATTTTCAATTTAAAATTGAAATATTCATTTTTATATTAAGAAGATAAAATAAAATAAATACCCTTTTTCTCCATTTCTTCCGGGCCCTGATAATGCCCAAAAGGGACAAAACAAATGCGTGTTTCCTACATTTTCTAAAATAATATAAAAAACAAAGGATGATGAAGTCATGAAAACTTTATGTTTAACTTTATAAACTAATTTAATAACTTTTGCTCAAGTTCAAATTACTTAAAAAGCCAATAATAGTATAAATTAAGTGTTTGAACTTTGAAGTATTTAAAATTCTAACTGTCCTATTATTATCGGATGAAATTTTTACAAAGAAACGGATAAATTGAAATTTGTTGTTTGGTTATTATTTTCAAAAATGGTGTAAGCAACAAAGCAAGAGGTGAAACCGGAGAATCAATTTTCGAAATTCAGTCCTTTTCAACAAGACGACAATTATTTTTATTAAAAGGAAACTCATTTCTTCATTCACAAACCCATATACCAAAGATCATTTTTGTATATAATTTATAAGTTTATTAGTTTATATTACGAGTCAAAGAGAAAAAAGAATAATGTAAAAGAAGTGAGACAAGAAAAACTATAGACTAATCATATAGTTCACCAAACAAATTGACAAGATTGATTTTGATTGGCAAATAGATTATGAAAAAAGAAAATTGACTGAGGCACCTAGATACCTTAACACACCATTGATTCTCTCGATTTATAATATTTAACACCATGTTTTAAGAATATATAAAAGTCATATTTAAAAACAATTATCATCATGAAATGAAACATATGCATTTTATTTTATTTATAAATGGAACTTTGTGAGATTTATATACGTCTAATCCTTATGAAATATGATTTTACATTTGCATTATTGTTAGAAATTATGATGTTTCAATTTTCACAAAAATACAAGTACTTTTGCCATCCAAATCCATATATAGTTCAACAAGCCAATCAATAATTCTTTTGTAGCTATATTTTGAAATTTTAGTTTTTATAAATCTTGGCTAGTTTTATGAAAAACGAGTCAACATTCTTATCCTTGTATTTGTATATACTGATTTCACCATATAATATATATATATATATATATATATATATATATATAATATATATATATAATATTACATTCACATAAAGTCATAAACCCTAGAAATGAAGTCAAATATAATAATATTTATTATCTTATGCTCACTCCAAGAAAAATAATTAATAATAACGATAACAACCAAAAAAAGTATTTCAGAAAGATGATCTGCTACAACCAGAACTAGGTGGGGTCAATCAAGCGAAACCCAGCTGTTACTTATTCTTCCTCTCAATATCTTGAACCCTTCCCTTCTTTTCTTGCCAAGATCTGGTTTTCTATCTCTTTCTCGCTTCTCTTTAGAGGGGCCAACTTTTCTTCTTCTTCTTCGTCTTCTTTTTTGTTTTCTGTTCTATAGATGCCAAAACTTATCGTCTTGTGATCAAGTACAAGGTACAACGGCTAGAAGAACAACCCCTCAAACTCAAAGATCCAAACCAGATTCATTTACTCGTAAGTTTTCCTAATTTTGATTTTAATTGAAGCTCAAAAACTCAGTTGTAGATGTTGGGTGTGTGGATCTTTCTGTTAAAACTCTGTTCTTCTTGTGATTTTATTCGTTTTTCCTCCATTTTCGTCTGGGCATTGCTTAATTATCTGGATCCTGTTGAATGTTTGAAGTTCATTCCTGTAATTTGAGTTCTTTTTGTATATCTATGATTTTTTTGGTTGAATTTCTTCATCAATTGGCATGGATACCGCATAATTTCTTGGATCTTGACATTTTGAAGAAGTTTTCGTCTTTTATATCTGTTATCCGGCTCTGTTCTTCTTCTGTTGAATTTCTTGCTGTTCTTCTTCATTTGAAATTTGCGTATTGCATAATTTATTCGATTTTCAGGAAATTAACGAATTTGAACCTTTATAAGATTTGATTTAGACTCATTGATGGGTTTAGGGCTCACTCTCTCGCGTTACTGTTTCATTAACTCTACCCTTTTACAATTTGGGAGAACATTTATCGGTTTTAAGTCAAATGAACTGGTAAAATGATATGAATTCGTGATTTTCCATGAAAATTTTGCTATGCACACCATGGATTATAACATTACTAAAAATAGAAACATTGTTGCAGCGATCTCTTCTTCTTTAGCTTAAAATTGTGTTGAATTTGATAATGTGTAGGAGGCTAATCGGTGAATGATACAGTAATGGGGCGGAAAGGCAATTGGCTATCTTCCATTAAAAAGGCTTTGAGTCCCAGCTCCAAAGAAAAGAAAAGCCAGGTTCGTCATTGTGTTTTTGCGACTATAATTAATAATTATACTTACTTTCATATTTTTTTTTGTTCTTTATTCTAGAAATCAAAGAGGAACGCTTTTGCGGATGAAAAAGCTTCAGAACCACCTATTGCTCCAAACCCAGTTGTAGAAACCCTAAATTCTTATCAGATTCCTCCACCAGAAGAAGTGAAACCAATTGAGGTGGAAGACGAACAGACAAAACATGCTTATTCAGTTGCAGTTGCTGCCGCCGCTGCAGCTGAGGCCGCCGCCACCGTAGCTCAGGCTGCCGCCGAGTCTGTCCGACTCACCGAGTTGACTCGGTATACCGGAAAATCAAAGGAAGAAGTAGCTGCTATCAGAATTCAAACAGCTTTTCGTGGCCACTTGGTATGTTAATCTCGCTTCCAAATTTGTACGTGTGCCTGTAATCTGTATCCGTACCTTATAAAGTCATTCATGTTTGCAGGCAAGGAGGGCATTGAGAGCGTTAAGAGGGCTGGTGAGATTGAAAACACTGGTGGAAGGGGCAGCTGTGAAGCGACAAACAGCAAACACACTGAAATGCATGCAAAATTTGTCACGTGTGCAATCTCAAATCAATTCCAGAAGGATCAGGATGTCGGAAGAGAATCAAGCACTTCAGAAACAACTCCTTCAAAAGCGCGCAAAAGAAATCGAAAGCTTGCAGGTTAGTTTTCATTTGTATCTGTATCAGTATCAGTATCAATATCAATATCAATATCAGGAACTTCTGTGATGATATATTGGTTTTGTGGTTTGCAGATGGGAGAAGAATGGAACGATAGTTTGCAGTCAAAAGAAGAGATTGAAGCAAAACTATTGAGCAAATACGAAGCTACAATGAGAAGAGAAAGAGCAATGGCATATTCGTTTTCTCATCAGGTAAAACACTTATTCATTTCATCACTCGTATTTATAAGTTATGACCCGAATTCACATATTTGAGTTTTTTTTTTTTTTTTTTTTTTTTTTTTTTTTTAAACAGCAACCATGGAAGAAAGCGTCAAGAACAACAAACTTACTATTCATGGACCCCACGAATCCTCAATGGGGTTGGAGTTGGTTAGAGAGATACATGGCAGCCCGACCATGGGAGACAAATGATCATGCATCATCATCATCGGTTAGAACCGGAATCAACATTACCGGGAGTGAAATCGCCAAGTCATATGCCCGACACCAGCTTAACTCCACACCTTCAACCCCGAAAACCGTTGGCCCGGTGGGCTCACGGAAGTTCAAGCCCGGGTCGAGCCCACGAGGGTTTGGGCTTGGCCCAGATGAGGACTCCAAGAGTGTTTTTAGTGTGCAGTCCGAGAAGAATAGAAGACATAGCATTGCGGGGTCTTCGGTTAGAGATGATGAGAGTTTGGCGAGCTCACCATCGGTTCCTAGTTACATGGCACCTACAAAATCCGCGAAGGCTAAATTGAGGGGACAAAGCCCGTTGGGCCCGATAGAAATCAATGATGGGCCCACCCCGGAAAAGGGGCCCGTGAAGAAACGGCTTTCGTATCCTGGGTCGCCAGCTAGGCCCAGACGTCATTCGGGCCCGCCCAAAGTTGGTGGAGGCAATGGCATTGGGATTGGTGTGGCACCAAATGGGAGTAGTGGAGTGGTGAGTTGAGGGAAGTGAGAGAAAAAAGTGTTGTGCATTGTTTAGTAAAATTTATAAGTTATAAGGTCAAAAGTTGAGAAAAAAGAAAAGAAAGGGGTGGGAGGTGAAATTGATTTGTTGTTATTTAAGTTATTTGATTTATGGGTGAAAGATTTGTGTTGGAATGAATTTTTTTTCTTGTTTTGTGTCTTTGTGTGAATTTCAAAATGGAATGTTTATTGTTAAAATTTCTTTGTTGCTTCCATTTAGATAAATCCTTTTACCTTTATATGTACAAATGGTGTGAGTGAGATTCTGAAAATAAAGTTTTATGTTGCTGTTGGTGTTCCGTAATTAAAACGGTTAGATATAGTTTTACATCTTCTATATGGAATTTGATTTTGGAAAAATAAAAAAAAAAAGTTTATTACATTTGCATTAAGATATTAATGTTATTATTCATGATTGAATTTTAGAAGGGATAAACATGGGACGGGAGGTACTGAGCCGGTACTAATCCGAGATTCTCGAATACTGAATTGGGTGAAAAGTCGATACTGAGCACCAAACTGAACTAACATTACCGGTACTACTGGTTTTTGATATTATCACCGGTAGCGATGGTCCAACATCCTTAAATTTATGATTTTAGAGTACGGAGTCCGTCTCATATTAGCATAAACAATACATATTCGGCTCGGACATTGTTCACCCCTACATTTTAGTATTTCTATTATAAAATACCATTATTAACTTTTATATCTATTTTAGAACGGTTAATTCACGCTTACCGGCCAACTATGAATTTTTGGAGTGGGGGTGTTTTATTGTGTTCAAAATGGTTTTTGTAACATCAATCCACACTAGTTTTAAGCATTTTGGTAATATTAATAAGGTATGGACACTAGTTTTAAGCATTTTGGTAATATTAATAAGGTATGGACACTAGTTTTAAGCATTTTGGTAATATTAATAAGGTATGGAATAATGTGATGTAGTTTTAAGCATTTTGGTAATATTAATAAGGTATGGAATAATGTGATGTAACAACCGGGATAAAGCAGAATTATTTGATGATTACAAACATTAATTCACTGGTTGTGTTATTTTAATTTTATTTAAAGTGTGTTTGGGTCATTTTAAGGGTTTAGTTGAAAAATGTGACATCCAGTTTTTTTTATTACAACTTTTTTTAATGCAACTCAATTACTTTTTTTTTTCATTTTTAAAATATTTTCACACGATAAACAAGTAGTTGGTCTATCACTTATCAAGCGGCCTTTGATTAGTGGTATCAAGAGTTGCCGGATAAGTGACATGCTGTCAAAAGTTCTAGTCTTGCTCTGGATGAAAGGTGTAAGTTTTGAAGTAGAGTAGTGTGTGCATGTATAAGTCGTTCTAAAAAGAAGTTGGTCTGTCAATTCTTATTTAGATGCCAAAAATTTGATAACAAGGGCGTATTGTTAATAGGTATTCTTTGGAAATTAAGATTTTATTTGTTAGCCTAGTAAGATTTTGGGCTTTATTTTGTATTGAGTATTATGTTGGCTCATTAGCTAAGAAACCCTAATTAACTAGTCTATAAATTATGTCTTTCCCTTCTTTGTAATTGTACTTTTCATTTGATAATAATATGAAACTCTAGTCATTCTATGTCTTTTACTTGATAGTTTCATGGTATCACAGCACGGTTGATCAATTGTATTTTTGTTTTTGGGGGTGAGTTGTAGCCGACACGACATTGCGCGGATCGATTTTGTTGATTTCGAGATCTTGATTGTTGCTGTTGCTATTCGTATTTGTTGTTGGTTTTGGTTATTTTTGTTTGACTGTTACTAGAAATATGGCCCCCAAAAGATGACTCTCTTCAATCCATTAGTACCCAACTCGATGGAAGAACTATGCATATTGGAGTTATGTTATGAAAAACTTGCGAGGTAAGGATATATGGGAGATTGTTAAAGGTGACAAGAAAAAACCAACACATGAAAAGGCTGAGAATTATACAACCTTACTGGACTCATGGGAGGCTGATAACTCCAAGATCATTACTTGGATTAATAATTATGTTATCCAGTCTATTGGTACTCAGTCGTCGAAGTATGACACGAAAAAGGAGGTTTGTGATCACTTGGATAGGCTGTATACTCAGTCTAATTTTGCAAATCCGTACCAGTTAGAGTTTGATATTCAATCCCTCCAACAGAACAACCTCAGTGTTCAAGAATTCTATGCAGCTATGTCAGATTTGTGGGATCAATTGGCTCTTACAGAGCCTGCTGAGTTGAAGGATTTTAAGCGTTATACTGATAGATAGGAAAAACAATGTTTGGTTCAGTTCTTGATGGCATTACGTTCAGATTTTGAAGGCTCGTGTGGATTAATCTTGCATCGCACATCTCTTCCCACTGTTGAGTCAGTTGTTCACGAGTTGATTGCTGAAGAAACTCGTATCAAGTTCATGTTGATAATGGTCCCAAAACAGCCACTCATGTCTCCTGATATCTTTGTTGTTCCACAATGACCTCAGTCTTCAAACCAGAATCGTCCTAAAGTTGCATTTGATGAGTGTGATTTCTATAATAAGAATAACCATTAGACGAAAATTTGTCCTTTGTTGTTAAGCAAGGGAAATCGGCAGCAACAGCAAACTAGATCACCTGCACAGTCTCAGCCTTCACAACTGAACAAGTCTTCTGGACAGTCTCAGTCACGTTCCTCGTTTCCACCTTTTAGGTCACCACAGTACGTTGATGTTGCACCTTCAGTTGAGAATGATCCAGATTTTACACCACCATCAGCCTTGGATGTCCAGATTGTTGAGCAGTTCAGACAGTTCTTTGCTGCCAATCCAATTGTCATGTCATCTTCCATGTCTCATTCAGGTCTGTCCTTATACAAAACATCAAGTATTCCTTCATCCTTGTGGATATTGGATCCAGGTGCATCTCATCACATGTCACCCTATTTGTCATATTTTTCTTCGTTATCACCTCGTTCACCTGTCTGTGTTATGTCTGCTAGCGCTACACCTATGTCATTAGAGGGTTTTGGTTCTATTCTCACCCCTTACATATCTTTAATAGATGTCTATTATATTTCCACACTTGCTTTGAATCTTGCTTCAGTCAGTCAGTTGTGTAAGTCTGGTTGTTGGGTCTTATTTTCTGATTCGTTTTGTTGTGTATAGGAAATCCGGTCTAGTTGTGCGATTGGGATAAGTCGTAGACTTGGGAAGCTTTATGTTTTGGAGCAGCTACATGTTGCTGATGTTGTTGCCTCTAGTGTTGATTTATCGTCTTTTCGCTTAAGTCCTTCGTCATATGTTTTATATCTTTGGCATTCTCGTTTGGGACATGTGTCAACGTCACGTTTACAGTTTTTGGTTTCCACTGGTGTGTTAGGTTCTTTGAAAAATGTTGATATTTCTAATTGTTGCGGTTGTAAATTGGGAAAATTTTATGCTTTACCGTTTAATAAAAGTATCACTCGTCTTGTTGCTCCCTTTGATATTATGCATTCTGATGTGTGGGGCCCATCCTCGGTCACCTCTAAATCGGGATCTAACTAATATATATCATTCATTGATGATTACAAACGTTATACGTGGGTTTATTTTATAAAGCGCAAGTCTTACTTTTTCACCATATATAGTGACTTCAGAGCCCTTGTCAAGACTCAACACTCATCTGTCATAAAATGTTTTCGGTGTGATTTGGGAGGGGAATTTACCTCCAATGATTTTAAACAGTTTTTGGCATCTGATGCTATTGTACATCAATCATCATGTACAGACACCCCTCAGCTGAATGGCATTGCAGAAAGGAAACATTGACATCTCCTAGAAACTGCAAGATCCTTGCTACTCTCTGCTCAAGTTCTGTCACACCCCCAAACCAGACGGCGGAAACGTCCGGGGGTGGAGGACTTCATTTGTAGTATCACAACACATGCATCATAGTAATCAAAGTACAAACAACCATTGTATTTAGAAAGTATAAGTATTTACATATGTTCAGTCATTGTATATTGAACCCAAAATAGTTATACAAAAGAAGATATGACTCAAAATAGCTCCATCTTCTCAAAAAGCTCGGGGAGTACCTGTGTATTATTTCCCTGAGAATACAAGTAATTTGAAAAGAGGGTATCAACATAAAGTTGAGTGAGTGCATATGTATTTATGTTTAAAAGGATGTCTCTGTATCTTGCATATGTAAACTGTTCCAGAAAATCCTATATTTTCTGTTGTATATGAAAAGTAGTTTTATTCTCATAAAACCGTTCTATTTGTAAACCAATGTTCTGTATTTGTAAAACTTGTAACTGAGAGTGTGTCTGGCTTCATCAACTGTTATTGAAAACTGTATTGAACCATTGTAGTTTGTATTCTGTAAACTGGTACTTTGAAGGTGTACTTACATTTAGTTGATTATACACTAACGTATTGTTAATATCTTTTTAATGAGTTATTATAACCATACTAAGACATGATGGCCTGAAACAAACGCTTTGTGGGCGTTTAAACTGTTGATAACAATTGCCACTCATTGGCGTGTATGCCTGACTGTAGCTAGCAGCCTGAGTGCGGGGTTGTCAATCCCGATATAGATCTACACACAACTTGTTTCGATCCCCTAGCTGGAGATTCTGGTTATAATGTCAGGACTTTACCTTGGTTGTCTAAATGAATTAAACAACCTGAATTGAATGACTCATAAAAAGCATATAAACGTTACATGTATATTAGTCATGAAAACCCAATCATTCTGAAATAAATGATTGACAGTATGTTCTTGAATTAGTATTCCGAACATGTATTTGACAATTGTAAACCCTTGATTTGTTTTGAATCAAAACCCTTGCTTCTTGTAAAACAGTGTATTCTAGTATACTTGAATCATGAATTATTGTTCTATGTATCATAAATTATACCTATGATAATTTATATGTACTTTCTGAATCGGTATTTAACTATTTTTGCATGTAACCCCTTGCTCAACATGTTACAAAGGTATTTGAGCTGATGAAATAACTTTTATACTTATATACATACACAATTCTATATATAAGTAAAATTTAAACGACACTCGGACAAATAACCGGTACTATAAGCCCACATCCAAACAAGGAAAAGGACCCAGAATGAGTTATCAGTCCTAAGCCTTTTAAATCTTATTTATATACATATATATATACAAATATGAATTTTGGGGAAAAATATAAGTTTATAAAAGAATTTAATATTTTGAGTATTTTGTATGATTTAATGTCGTTTTATCATGATTTTATAACACAAAGTTCTTGTGTTATACTTGTATTCCCCCCCTTAAAACAGTAGAAAT